CAGCTTTGCTTTGCGCAAAGAATTCCGTTCTCGCGATAAGAACCTTGAAACCATCAAGTTTGTAAATGGAAGCAAAAACCAACGTTGCAAAAAAAGACTTCAAGCCAAATCAACCTATTTTGCGAAAAGGAATGTCGCACTCTATTCATCTGTAAGTCTACGATAGACACTATAGAAAAACGGCGCCATAGATGTGATATGGAAAAATTTCTCTAACCCCTTCAATTTAGGGCCGGCATCTGGCTAACCCCTTTAACCTGAGGTTAACTAGAATCAAGGCATAACCGCAGAATCAAACAGCTGCTACAATGACATTTTTTGTTTAAAAAGGAAATGCCAGCTGCCTTTCTTCTCAGACATCCTGCAAGACATACCCTCGATACATAGAGCCACGTACTCTGGTAACCTTCACTTTGAGGGCTATGAGGGGACACAACCTTCACCTGAAAAAAAAAACAGAAGTCATCCGGAACTTTGTCCCGGATGTTATTATCCTGAATATATCGGAACGAATGTTAATGAAGCAAATATAGGGAATAATATCTTCAGTTTATCTCAGCAAGACCGAGAATTGCGTTTTCATACCTTTTTTACCTTAAAAAGAAGGTCTTTGTGGGATTTTCGCCAGAACTCAGGACAAAATTTCTCAGTTATCCTCTCGTTCAAACAAAATCGAGTTTCCGAAGTTTAGGAAAGCTATTGGAGTTAAATAAAAACGAGAAACTGCGCTTAAATCTTGCGCCGAGAGTCGCGCACGAAAACGCTGGTCTATTTCGTTAATAAGTGATTTTCAAAGCTTGGGACATTGTCAGTTCTCCTCGTCGTGTTATGACGACCAGAATGATATATAATGTTGCGGGGTTTCGTTGAGACCTCGCGGAGATCTACGACCAGAGCCAAATGCCCCGTCGGCTCTGGTCTGTCTCCGCTGCTCGTCTGCGTCTCCGCGCGCTGCGCGCTACCTCGCTACCCCAAACGCGAGGCGCGGGGCATTTGGCTCTGGCACCCTTTTCTTCGCTGTTTCGAACCCAATTTTAGCAAGCTGTATATCATTCTGAAGCTCTTGATCTCTATTTTCACGATGACAACGTCCCAGAACCATATTTTTTGATTTGATCGAGAAATCCAGCAAAAACCTTGTCTTTGAAAATGTCTTGTTTTTCTCCTAGTTTTACTATTTTCACGCGGTTTTTTCGTGCATTCTATAGATCTTGCTTCTGTTCATAATGCAGACAACCACCCAACCCTTACCTCTTCGATTATGGTGGAATTTTTTTCGAAAAGCCGTAAAAAGTGCGTTTTCTTTTACAGTGTTCTGTTCCAATGTTTTCGCATCAATTTTTTTCCAGCTTGGGCGATTGTTGCTCAGAACGATAAGCGCAACAATCGACAACGTCCCAGAAAACAGGAACGTCAATGCGGGGGTAAAAATTTAAAGGACGCATCAAAAATCAAAACCCCGTGTTGCGAATTGCTGGTCTTAGAGCGAAAACTTGCACTTTGAGAAGCCGCCAAATGAAAAATTTCAAACCTCTTTGCAGCGTTTTTATCCTGTTTTCAGCTGTTTCTTTTGCTTTTTACATCTTTTTTACGTCATTTTCTCTTCTCTGATCTTCTTCAAACAACCTTCACTTTTGACGCCCTGTCTCTAGACTATCGAAGGTATGCTGCAAGAGATTATCGAATCAACAGCGTTTTGTTAAAAAAACGCGTGCTCGAGAGCTTTTGCGCACTCAAGTGGCGTTGTTAACTAAACATAATCAAAATCAAAAGATTAACATTGCATCAATGAATACACATTGTCTCAAGAAAAAGTTGAGCAAGAGTAGAAAATTTGGACTAGTTGGTGATGGATGCATGTTTGACTAGAGAGGATAACAAATAAAAAAGCAGTTAGATTACTCGTTCCTCAAGCTTTCGAATCATATATAAAAGTTCGAAAAAGACCTTTTTGGTTTGAGAAGATAATTACCCAGAATTGGCTGATATTGTAGCTAGATAAAACTGCTCGTATCTTGCCTCACAGAAAAGCTAGGAAAAAACAGATCTATGTCATTTCCCCATGTTCTTCGCTATTGAATGGAATATAAAGTGTCGGTGCACTAAGCTTTTCTAGTCCAAAAAGTTTTGCTCCGGCGACCCATAGAAAGCCGGAGTGGGGTGGAGCAAGTTAGTATTGAATATCTCCACCTCATTTTTGAAAAGCCACAAGTTTTTTCACTCAACAACCTTTATATCACTAGAGAGCCCTCGGTAAAAAGATTCGACGTAGACCGTCTCTTTTTCTCTAGCTCCCCTCTACCTAGAGATACATGGCATTTTAGCTAAAAACATATGTGTTTTTGTCAAGAAATTCCTTCTTGAAGAATGAATGAAGGTGCCTGATTGTCTGACAGTATCACAGAGCAAGACCTTGTCAGTAAACGTAGACCGTCTGTTTTTTCTTTGTCCTTTGCTTCAAAAACGAAGCACATAATAATTGCACAAAATTAACTGGTGAGGAGGCGTATAAAATTGCTCGTTTCACAGAAAAGCTGTGAAAAAAGAGACGGTCTACGTCAATTTTCCATGATCTCAGCTTTCGAATAATATAGAGCATGTTAGGTTTGTTTTTGCTTCTTGGCTCTAAAAAGCACTTGCTCCGGTGACCGATAAAAGCCAATACATTGGGGGAGCTGGGTGGAACAAGCTAATAGTAAATATCTCCGCCCCATTTTCAAAAACTGGCAAGTATGTTCGCCCAGCAGTCTATATACCATTCAAAAGCTCAGGAAAAGGGGGCTTCGACATAAACCGTCGAGTTCGTTCTAGCCCCTCTCTACCCAGAAGTACACTGCATTTTATTTGAAAACATGTCCATTTTAAACAGCAGATTCCTGCCAAATGAAGACCTAATCACAGCTGCTTATCTATCTATGTTAAAGAGCAAGTCTTCATTAACAAACGTAGGCCGTCGACTTTCTCGTAGCATTCATTTGGAGAGCAGAAAGTGAGGACACAAAATCAGTTAATTTATGAAGTATAACGCCTCATATCTCGCGGCACAGAAGACCTAGAAAAAGTCGACGGTCTATGTCGATTCTACATGACCTCAGCTTTCAAATGGTGTGTAATTTGTTGGGGAATTTTGGTTCCAGGGCTCACTTACCCCCTTCACCTTACAAGGATGGGAGTAACAGAGACCCCTTTCACCTGGAGAGGGCCCGGCTCTCTCTATCGCACTTATGAACGGCGCCATTGAAAAAGAAGCTTTGCCGCATGAGAATAGTTGGAGAGATAGAATTGTAAAGATTAGTGTCAATACTGAAAAAATGACGCCACTGAAGACCGAACCTTCTTGTAAAAGAATCCGAAATAGAAGCTTCATCACAAGGTCAATCAAATAGTAGCTGCTAGTTTCGTAAATAAGTTTGGCATGAGCGAATTCTTGAGCAAAAGTTGCGCACACATCAACAAATGTTTGTACACTGCTTCTAACAATAAGGGATTTATTTATACCGCCTAAAGAGCTCAAAGAACCGCAACATTTCCGCTCCGCTTGAATTGGTCTCTCCAAGAAAGTTATCATAAAGTTTCAAAGTTTTTTAGTTTTTCTTCCGAGTGGTGCATATCATGGTAAAAGTTTTAGAGATCCTACCATAAAAGTTTTAGAGATCCTACCATGATTTTACGGAAGCGACTATTAGTTTTTCCAAACTAAGTATCTAAAGATCTTTCGCGCACCATAATATTTGAGATGCCATGATTGGGCAAATTCGCAATTTCGTGAGCAAAGAGAAACATTAGTAATGCCGACATTCTGTGCGCGAGTGGCCGACATCACAGGCGCAAATCTGCTATCTATCTGCCTGCTCATGCGCAAAATTGGCTGGCCCAATCTTGGAACCGCATGCACACCAAGCGGAAATTCTATCAGACAGTATCTAAGAGATTCGTCATACTTCGACGAGAAAAGTCTAAAAGCGCCCAAGAAAGCCTAAAGAAGCCCGAAAATGCTCAAAAACCCCAAAAAAGCCCAAAGCGCTAAAAAGAGCTCAAAAAGGCTAAAAAAGCCCAAAAACTCCCAAAAAGCCCCCAAAAGCCTAAAAAACTCCGAAAACGCCAGAAAGAGCAGAACGCAGAAAGGAACTTTTGGTAGAATTCTGACATTATTTCGTTCGTTATGCAGACGACAGAAAAGGAGCCAAAAACTCGGTTGCGAAATCAACACACATGCCTTGGCGCCAAAACGTGCGAAAAGTGTTCCGGCTCTTTGGGTTGAGCCAGACTTCGCGGGGAAGCGGCGTACGCGGCGTACGCAGCGTACGCTCGGTATATTTCATCATAGGAGCGTACGCGGCGTACGCTGCGTACGTCGCGTACGTCGCGCAGTCTGGCCGAACCCTTTCTGGCGCTTTTGGGCTTTTTTCGGTGAAGTATGATGGGTCCCTAAATCAAATTGAGCGTCAAAATTTGATACTCTAATGCAAAAACATTGAAGCACTCAAAAGTGTCAAATTCGAATTTATCCCAAAGACTCCCCTTCCCCCGGCAATTTGTCCAAAACCATCAGTACAGTAGCCTGTACAGACACAGTTAACTAGAATAGCGGTATCCCTAACTAAGCAGTGGCCTGTGTCTTGCTACGACAGATAAATTCAAAGCATGAAAATTGCTTCAAAAGATAGAAGCGGTGATGGTAGCCCTCGCCCATCAGAATGAGTGGTATGATGATAACAAGTCTAAAATTGGAGCTTTCCTGTATCTGAATGGTCGTAAATCTGCTTATCGTTGTGATCATCAGATTTCTACTTACTCTGTCCACTTCCAAAAATTATTCCTTCAATTTAAGGAGCAACCACGCTTTCACACTCTGGAGCAATTTTCTCGCTTCGGATTTTATCTTTTGCAGTAGGACCTGACGATTACTTAATCAAAGGACCCATTATGCAGCATCAATATCTTGTCAATTTCACTTTAGGTCGACGATGCTTTAAAAAAAAACTTCGCGGCACACTCACTTGATAGAGTGCAGAGACTAGCCGAGCATCCTGAGCTAGGATATGTTGTGCAGTTCGCGGCGGATGTACACGCTGCTTCGGTCACCCACATCACCGCATTGGTATAGTAGCCACTTGAATTGTACTTTATTTCTTCAGGAAACAAACTTTCTGTTTTTACAATGATGAAAGACTCACATCTGGTTGTAAAGACATGAAACAGTCATAGCATTACTGGTACCAGGACAAATCTTGTAAGCGCAACCAATTTTAGTAGTGGCGGCAAAGACCATCTAAATTTCAGTTTAGGCATTTTCATTTTAAGCTAAAATGTTTACGAATGAGCTCACATTAGCAAAAGTGTAAAGGCTACTGTTGGTGTATTTGTTTTGTGGATCCGTGACACCGTAAAGCTTTGCTTTACTCCACCAATTATCAAGCGTTGCGTTGATGGAACCGGGTGGATCGTTGAGTGTACCACTGCTAGTGAACCTGACCGATGTATCACTTTATAGCGAAATCAATGCATGTTTTTCTGAGCTCAGTATTTAAACAACCTTTTCCACTTTTTGGAGAAACAGCTTCAACATGACAGATGCGTTTTCTCTGCTTGCCTAAGCAATGCCTAAGCCTTTCAAAGTATCTTTTGAAGATGATTCAAATTCTACAGGCTCTAATTACCTTAAAGACCAAAATTTGTTTGCGCTCACTTTCTCCGTCAGAGCTCAAGGAAAAATGAACGCCTTTTTGAACTCGCTAATGTTTGAAAAAAGACCTGTCTACGTAATTCAAAATGGATTTTTCAGATACCAAAAATGAGAAGTGGACGCTCAGTTGTCGAGTTCGTTTGATTAGGTTGTTGCCAGAAATGGTCCGCAAAAAGCAGTCGTAATGAAATTCTAGGGCAGAATGGTGTAACTTTCCTATTATTTATGTTAAAATGCTTACAGCCTATCTAACAGTACGTGGTAATATCACAGCTACGCGGCTTGAGCACTAGTGGTCCAACCTCAATCGTTTCTCAAACGTAGTAACTTGCTCTTGAAGGATGTCGCGAACGTGGTCCGGGGTGCGAGCAAGGGCAAGGCGGACGCAAAGCTCCTCAGCTCCTGACTCTGCTAATGAGACAGGTTGTAGCTGTTTACTTCAGTCAATTTAAACTGCGATAAATTGAAAACATTGGAGCTCACCAGAAAACCGTACTGAAGCCCTTTTTCAATTGTTTTCTCAGATCAGTCTTTACAACCGTAATGATTCAAATTGTTGCACCAGTTTAAGGCTGATTGAGCTAGTCTTTGGAATTATAAGTTATTTTTCAAGATAGTGGAAGATTGTTGAAAATTATCTGTTTTTTGCCTCGTGGTTCTGTATTCGTTAGAAAGGTTTAAAAGGGTGTGCGGTACTTCTGGAAATCAATGCCTTGATGGTCACCACTGGAAACAGCCCAAAACTGTGACAAAGTTATGGCTTGTAAAAACTCAATGTGCATTCAAAATAAGTGAAGGCTACCTTATAAATTCCTACAATTTAGAAGCCTACATAAACATTACTTGATCAAATTCTGCCCCATATTAGACCATGATGCCAGTGAGCTAGGACAAGTCGAAATCGCGTCCTGAACTTGCTGCTCCATGGTGCAGTCCCAGGACTGAAATTTTCTTAGCAAATCGATCCGTAGAAGGCTGCAGACAGACGTACCAGTCTGTACATATTCTTGGCAGGGTTAAGTAGTCCAACTTTGTTCGGCTCAATACCCCTAGCTACTCTTTGGCGAGCATTGTTATGGTAGTTGAGAAATTGATCACGGAGAGCATTAGTGAGCCCATTGTTGGAGCAGCCATACGCTGGAAATAAGATTTGAGAAAAAAAGGAGGTAATGCAATTCTCGAACTCACTTGCTGCATTGCAGTCTGAGAGGAATGTTAGAACCTAGAATGAATATGAGACCATCACAACTAGACAAACATTATTTTAAAAGTGACCTAAGGTATGTCGCCTCATAGAAAAAACCTACCAATGCAATTAAAAAATATGGCGAAGTCATGCCCGGAAGTGTAGTTAAAGCATAAGCTGTCTTTATATATGTGTGCATGAGTAAGTTATAAATATAGTCACATGGGTATACATATATTCAGATTATTCAAATATATTGGAAACATGAATTTCGAATGGAAAACAAGCAGTCTAACATTTTTTGAGTTTTGGTTCGGAATGAATAAGCAACTCGTTTCCAGTTTTCAAAGCGCAAACAGTTATGTTGCTATTTTAGCAGATAAAAAAGTCTTGGAAAAATAATTTCAACTAGGTATTCCGATTTGCTTCCGTTCCGACAAGGTCCTTGAATTCGCATTGTTTCCACTGTCGAAAAAAGGAAAATTAGTTTTGATTTCCTTATCGTGTAATTATCATGATTTGAGCATGTTAATTACCCTAATTTCCGGCGTATAAGCCCATTTCTTTTCATCGTGCGGGGTGAAGTGCGATGTTGTTCGCGATGCGAAAGCTGCACAAGCACCAACTGCACTAATTTCACGGGTACATGGCGCACCTTTTCTATTTTTTCAAGCAAGCAGCTTGGCCAAACCACTCTGCCTTGCGAAATGCTCTCTCTCCCTTACGATTCTTTCATGTAAGGAGGGGACGATAGAGGGTACTTTGGTCGCGAAACTTTTTGCTGCGTTCATGCTAGTCGAGTTTAGGAAAAAAATCGGGGAAAAAACCTGTATCGTGAAATTGGGGTACTGACTATCTCGCCTAATAACCTATCACTGGCTTTCTGCTTTCGTTCTTCATTTGGTTTCTTCTCAACTGTGATTTGTTCGCAACAAAATTTTCCATATTTATTTATTTTTCAAGAGTCCGCGGAACAATAAAAACGTTTAAATACTAGTAGTAACATCTTAAAGGCACCGTCCACCCAAAGCGAAGTTGATGAGATTTCGGTGGCATACTAGTGTGGGCCCCCACACTAGGCAAACCCCCAAGTAGCGCCGCAAAATACTCCTTCCGAAGCGAGAAATCCGCTCCGGAAGGGACGTAACCGGAGGTGGTCACTCCGCCCACTTTGCAGGCGCGCTGATATGCGCAGGGCGTCATTAGCAAACTAGTCATGGGCAATTGTGCAATCGATTAGGAGTATTGGGAAATGTTTGCCCCAGTCTTGATCCAGGCTCCGCGTATTTAGCACATTCACACAGAAAGCAGTGAAAGCAAGTGTTTTAGCACACAGAAATGCGTGATAGTTTAGTGCGATGATCCATTAGTCATGTAGACGGCGTCAACGATTATTTTGACTACAAATAGTTTTTCAATTTGATGTACATTGCAATGAAAAAACTCGCGTCGCATGTTCATCTCGTTTTATTGAGCACAAACGTCACCTATAACGAAAGATCGTGTTCATATCAAGAAAAACAGCTATGCCGGATGCTGATGATGGCTATAATCGAAAAAACAACTTTGTCGTAGATTTGGTCATGACTGAATAAAAAACGAACGGTTGATGATACGAGTACACGAAATAACACTAGAAAAACTCCGATTAGTCGCCTACGACGAGGCAGCGTACTGCGCTGTGCGTGTAGTCTCTCCAACGGTGCGCCTGCAAAGTGGGCGGAGTGACCACCTCCGGTTCGTCCCTTCCGGAACGGATTTCTCGCTTCGGAAGGAGTATTTTGCCTCGCTACTTGGGGGTTTGCCCAGTGGTGGGGGCCCACACTAGTATGCCACCGAAATCTCATCAACCTCGCTTTGGGTGGACGGTGCCTTTAATCAAATGGTGATAGAGCTCAAACTGCTGCTTTTTTGATTGCTTTCAAATTGATGAGTCGAGTTTGCTTTCAAATTTGTAATCGGCTGTATCGGAATTCCTTCCACCTATGACATCACAATTAACAAACATTTTAAAAGTAGTGAAAAATGAAGAAGGAGCATTCGCCCTGAGGAGGACTCATAAAATGCAGTAAGTTTTCACTTTGCAAAATAATTCTTTTCGAGACGCTTTCGCGTCATTGTTCGCTGCGACGTGTGCGGCTTATAATCCGGAAAATAGGATATTCAGCAGGTTTCTTTCTTGCAGAGAACGGTTTGTGGTGGTTTTTTCTCAAATCTAAGTAGTTAGTAACGCGAACTTGGACAAAGCTTGATCTCATTTGACCTTGATCTAGCAGTTCGCTCAAACTGCTCGGTCCTTTTATGACCAAATCGTTCGGGATTTCGCATGACACATTGACAACTAAATTACACTTCATTCATAATAACCCATGTTGAGAGCTGAATAATCGTAGATACTGTCTTTTTGAAGGAGTCGGCGAAACATTCCAAGTGGAGCAGCGCATCCGCACCGCCACTCGCTCAGCGAGATGGACTAGGAAAGAGACGGAGACTGCAAAGCGGCGCGAGTCGTTGCGAAGCGGACTCCCGTCAGTCCAATTTCACCTGAACTGAGTTGGAACTTACAAGCGTTTTGACTTAGAAACACTCAAGTCTTTGATAGTTGAGCGCAGTTTCGTCGGCTATTTGGGACAACTACAAGGGAGCTTCAAAAGCACACTCATTTGTAATTTCTTCACAAACTTGCAATATGCATGAAATTAAACGTATACATCAAACAACCTCATCATTTTCGACACAAGGTTTGTGCGGAAAGCTTCTTGAAGTTGTTCATCTAGAATGAGCTGTATGATACTGAAGGAAGGAAGGTCGGTCGAAGTGACCTTTCAAGATGCGATGGATACCGTTTTGTACGGCTTCGAACGCTAATTTCAAATCTGATTTCCTTATCTGCGGCGCGTTCCTGCACGAGGAGTTATGAGCGTTTATTAGAGAAAAAATTGAATGTGCAAATATTAGGTTGTCCCAAAAGTTTTGTCGGTTTTTTCAAATCGCTATAAAACCACGCACAATAAAGACCTGAATGAGTTAAACATGCATTCGATGCAGCTTTTCCTTCTCTTTCTTATGGTTACAATTTTAGCCATAATCCTGCATTCTTTTCTGGTAATTGCTAAAATTTTTCACCCGTCATTTTTAACTGCTCAAAGTTCGGCTAATTTTCACAAATTTTACTTCAAAGTTTCGGAAATGTTTAAGTTGGAACAGATAAAGCAATTCTCGGACTTTATGGCAATGTTTTTAGATTCTCCTAATCTGCTGTATTTAGCTCTAAAAAATCCTTTCTTCCAATGTCTCGTTTTTTGGCAAAGTCATGAAACACGCAACTGCAGCAAAAACATGGAAGCTTTTAAATTTTTGCGAATTGGTATTTGTTTGTTACTAAACATTATTTATGCAACCTATCCAAGTTTGATCTGCTTTGAGAAATTACTTTTTGGAGTTTTCGGTAGTTTAACGTGTTAAACGTAATCAAAATGCCTTGGTGTTTTTCTTAAATAAATTATTATTATTACGGATTTGTTAAACGCGCCCCATGTAATCCAAAATATACACGATGCAGCTAAAGGTTTGCTCTACATAACAGGAATATTCAGGAATATCAAAATAAAAATTTTCAAGATTCAGGAAAGGTTTGACAATACTGTAAAGCTGCTCGAAAAGCCATGACGATAACATTGCAAAGACAGAGTAGATCAGAGAGCAAATATATAAGAAAGAGTAAAAAAATATGAATTAAATAATACCTGCATCGTCCATGGATTGGTGTTCTGTGGGTTTTAGCGAGCGATGAAAGAAACCGACAAAACTTTCGGGACAACCTAATAATATAAAAGTAGTATTAAAATTATTCCTAGCGATTGAATGGACCAGTGGTAATCTTTCCAGCACTCTATAAAAAATACTCTTAGGTGAGATATCTTCACACTCGGCTGTCTTATTCAAGCGCTGGGAAAATTTTAACAACTGTTTTTATCTCAGAAGAACACTCATTTTTTGTCCCTTTAAACGCTTAACTCCTCGTCCAGGGACGCGCCGCAGATAAGGAAGACAGATTTGAAGTCAGCGTTTTATGCCCTCCTCTATGGTATACAGCTCGTCTCAAAATGCCACTTTGACCAACCATCCTTCCCTTACGAGCATGCTTGAAAGAGTTAAAACAGCAATCCTTTGTGCGATAAACGAGCGCACCCAGGCTGCGCCACCTAATCGGATTAGCAGTGCTGTAGCGAGCTGTGCTGTAGAAGTTTCTGGTGGCATAGCCAGAGAAGTAATGTTGAAGTGATGTTGAGGAGTGATAAATTGGTTATCGTGTGCCTACACAAGACATGTGAACGTCACCGTACGTCGATGGATGTCGACAATCGACGTTGAAATAAACGTCAGATCTGCCATGATCCAAGCATATTATTGAGGCTTTGAAAAAAGGGACAGGTTAATATGAGAAGTTCGCAGAAGATTGAAGCCAGTTGCTGAATGTTGTGTTGACTGTCAAACCTATATTTTGTGGAGGCGTTCCTCAAATATGAACTGCAGTTTTTGTTATCATCATGCATCAATGACTTCAGCAACTTACCACACCTCTGTAAGATAGTTCCTTTTTGAGCCTAGGGGAGGGATGCGAGATTGAAAAATACTACGCAATTACAAATTTGGAACATGCTGAAAAGGTGTGTGCTTTGAATTTGCTTCAGCTCTCGATCCGACCCCTCCAAGATTGCACTGTTTGGCAAACAGCTCGCTCGCAGCACATATTCATTTATGGAAAACTTTATAATAAAAGACCTGACCTTTTATTCTTTGATTGGATTGTAATAGAAGCTGAATAAATGCATTTATTACATCGTTTGAATCAAGGATGAGGTATCTCAGACATAGTGTATTGAGGCATCACTTCTCCAAACGTAAACGAGAACATTTTGTTGACATAACTATGGGCGTAAAGCACAATGTCCTCCTCCGCTTTTTTCTGCAATGGTATTCAAAATCGCTTTTTTTCATGTAAAGAACCGAAGTACCTACCGTAAAACGTTCCACCAGCTCCGTAAATTCCTTCTTTTCAGCATCGTTCAAAGTGCTAAGCAGTTTGTCTTGCTTAATAATAGACGAAACTATTGAGCTTGGCAAATCAAACACTCCAAAAAAGAAGACTGAAGTACCTGTTCTTTTATTATTTCCCAAGGAACTGTTTCGTCGTGCAGTGTCTTCTCGTAAATGCCTCGTACCTTATCATTAATCAAATGACTTTTAAGCTTGAGTAACTTTAGAAAAAAATGATGGAAGCATTCCTCTTAAGATTCACTACGATCATGCATCAAGAGCATGCCAGCTCATATAGAGATAGCTGAATGCGTACAAACCTATGCAAAACATAAACGTATAGTTCTTTGCAAAACTTAACTTCTATGCGAATTGATCGGATCACCAAGTCGCTTGCGTTAACTAACTTAGTGTTCTCTATTGAACGGATGGGTTTTTCTGTTTTTTTTAAGCGACTCGTCTTTCAGTCCGAATAACTCTAACAGCAACTTACTTTCTAAAGAATAAAGCTTATTTGGATTGGGAAGGCATCAAAGTTTGGCTTGGACAATTATAGCGGCGTATTATATAACTTGCACTCCTACAGACTTTTGAATAAGAAAAACTTTAGAAGAAATGTTATAAGACAAGCAAGTAGATCAAATGGTTCTACAAGTTCGCAAGATCTGTATACAAGAAATCATAGCAGGCTCGTACAATCGCTATGTCACTCATATGGCAAGATAGATCTCTTCCTAAAAGACGCCATAACTTCACAAAAACAATCAAGTCTTCTGAGTGAACGAACATCACCATGACGTGAGAGAGCCTAGCGAGCAACAATATTTACAACAGAAAAAACAAAAATTGCTGTCATGGTTCGAAAAAGCACTTTTGCCTTTGACAGGCGCTTCGTGATTACACGAGCATCTCGAGTAATTTCTTTTCTTCGCAAACGCTGCGAATTTTGGACTAGCTAAGCACTAGACTTACTGCAGCCAAACATTAACGCTGAAATTGCTTCAGTTTCCTGTTTTTTCAAGATGTTAAGCCTTTTTTTAGCTTGAATGTAGGCTGTCCCCCACAATGGTCGGTCGCCTCATCGTGGCGTGGAGGTGACACTGGGTGTCGAACTGCGATGCACAGCCGAGTGTATACTCTGGTAGGGCCTCCCAAGCTGTGAAGGAGTTCAACATTTCCGGTTTCGGCCGGATGCCTAGCTAAGAACTGGCCACGCCAGATCCTCCGCCGTCTGGCTTCTTCTGGTCGCTAGGCGGTCCCTCCCCGCTCCAAGCCCGGGGTCAGCGATCGCCCCGTGGAAATCAAGAGTAGGCCTAGTAAGCCACCTCTTGTAAGGGAACAAATTTTTATTACTCAGACAGCAAGAAGATTTAGAAAAAACCCTGTACATCGAATCCCGCCTACGGCGCCGGGTGGTAGCAAGAACGATGTCAGGGTACTCAGGGCGCCTTTCGGATTGGACAAAAACGACACGTCTGCCCGGACGACACGCCATGGAGACTGCCTCATGCTCTGCACCTACAACGCCAGGACAGTCTCCACAAACGCCGACCTCCACGCTCTTCTCGACGCTGCAGTGCACATCAACTACCACATCATCGCTCTGCAGGAAACGAAGTCCAGGAAGAAGAACGTGCGACAGATGAGTGATGGGACCCTCATTATTCGTGGTGAAAAAGTTCCATCACGAAACGTGGGAGGCGTCGGCTTTGTCGTCCATCCATCTATCGTCCATCTTGTCGATTCGCACGAGATCCTATCACCTCGACTAGGCATTTTACGACTACGCCCTCCACGTCAGAAGACCATCAGCATCATCAACTGCTACTCGCCAACATCAGCAGCTGACGACAACTAGATGAACTAGATGAACTAGATGCTTTCTACGAAGACGTGGAGGAGGTCGTCCGCAACGAAAAGTCCTTCTACAAGTATGTTGTGGGCGACTTCAATGCGAAAATCGGGATGCCACTAGAAAAGGAATATAGGATTGGGAAGTTTGGATATGGGCTCCGAAACGAAAACGGCAACCGTCTCGTTGGGCTCCTCTCCGCCGCACGACTCTTCCATGGAAACTCCATCTTCATGAAGAAAGAATATTGCCGGTGGACTTGGAATCGCCCAACGGAACGACTCATGCTGAGATCGACCACATTCTCACCAACCGAAGGTGGAGCTTACTCGATGTCTCTGTAGTTCCATCATTCTGTAGTGGCTCCGTTCACCAACTCCTTCGAGCGAAGATACGACTCAGCCGAAGGCTGGAAAAGAAAGTCTGTCATAGTGCCGTGAGAAGGAAGGAAGTCGTTTATGACGGTAACAGGCTGGAAGAGCTCATATCAAGTTGTGACTGGCCCATCGAGGAGGACCCAACGTACGACTACGACCGGCTTCTGAAAGGATTGCGAGCCTGCGGAGAATGCGCTTCAGTGACTTCTAAGAAGAACTTGGACCGCATCTCGAAGACCACCAAGGAACTGCTCGAAAGAAGAAGATCATTGAGGCAGGATCCGAATGCAACTCATCTCGAGCGACTGATAGCCAACGCCAGTTGCAGAACAGCTTTGCAAGAGGATCTCACGAAGTACAGGCAAGCCAAGATACTGGAAGCAGCCGAAAGAAGACGAAGTCTCAAAAAGTGCCGAAGGGACCTCTGCGAATATCACATACCGCTGGCTGCACTACTGAACGAAGACGGGACTCCGACTTCTTCCCGATACAAGATGGAATCTATCGCGAAGAACTTCTACACCAACCTCTTCCGCTCATCAACACCCGTGTAGATGCCCGTTGTTCCCACTGGAGAAGTACCACCACGAATTCTACCTGCTGAAGTGCGTATCGCGATACAGACCATGAAGACGTCCACGGCTCCAGGACCAGATCATCTTTCCGTCGAACTTCTGCGAGCCGGAGGACACCGTCTACACGAGATTCTAGCGTCGCATTTGACATCTTACCTTCAGAAGGAGAAGATTCCAGACCAGTGGAGAACGTCAAGAACCGTCCTTCTCTTCAAGAAGGGTGAACGGGAGGATCTTCGGAACTATCGTCCAATATGCTTGCTGAGTGTGCTGTACAAGCTTTTCACAAAGATTATCCTCGCTCGCATATCAAGGACACTGGATGAAGCCCAACCCCAAGAACAAGCTGGATTTCGCAAAGGATTCAGCTGCATGGACCACATCCAGACCGTTTCGAGCGTCATAGAAGTCTGCCGGGAGTACCGACTGCCTCTCGTCCTAACCTTTGTCGACTACGAGAAAGTCTTTGACAGCGTCGAAACCAACGCCATCCTGTCTGCGCTAGTCGATCAAGGAGTGGACCCAGCTTACGTGAGGATGTTAGCCGACTGCTACAAGGACTGTACAACGACGATGCAGCTATTCCATCGCCCCCTGACCATACCAATCGGGAAGGGGGTCCGACAAGGCGACATAATCTCGCCGAAGCTGTTCACCGCGGCCTTGCAGTGGGTGACGAAGTCACTGGACTGGGACGAGAGAGGCATACGAGTTGATGGGAGATTCCTGTCCAACCTTCGTTTTGCGGACGACATCGTTCTCTTCTCGAGCAGTATCAACGAAGCAGAGACGATGCTGAAGGAACTAAACGAAGTAGGGAAGAATATCGGACTGCGAATAAATCGGAAGAAGACTCAGTTCATGAAGAACGCCTTTTGCGAAGATGCAGAAATGGAATTGGAAGGCACCCCGATTATGGAGACGTCTTCCTACGTGTATCTCGGACGTTCGATGAACATGGAGAACGACTTGAGGTAAGAACCTAACAGGAGAAGAGGAGCAGCCTGGGCCGCCTTCGGGCCTCTGAAAGAAGCCACCGACCAACTGACGGACCCGGAGCTTCGTGCCCACCTGTTCGACTCAACCGTTCTCCCGGCGCTCTATTACGCAGCTGAGACTTGGGCCGACACTGTAGCCACGTCGAAAGTTTTACGGACCACCCACAGAGCGCTCGAGCGCAGTCTTCTGAAGATGACCCGACGCAAGCTACATCTAATCGGACTTCGCAGCACGGATATGAGAAGAATGTCCCGTCTTCGTGACCCAGCGGAATACGTCGCGAAAGCCAAACACCGATGGGCCGGTCAATTAATGAGAAGAACAGACGACAGATGGACAGTAAGAACATCTGAGTGGATTCCTCGCGAAGCCAAACGTCCTCGAGGAAGACCACCGACGAGATGGGCAGACATGTTCGTGGAACGGATGGACCAGCTGAGAAATCAGCTGGATACGACTTTCGCCCCTGGAACTCGTGGACGCAGCCACCGACGACGGCCAAGAAGATCGTGGATGTCTGAAGCGAGGGACAGGGAAAACTGGCGACTTCTGTACTGGGGCCCGCACGTCACGTGAAGCCGGGCCATCTAAGTATCTAAGTAAGTAAGTAATGTAGGCTGTAGAATACCCAAAATGTTTGTGAAGTTGACCGTTTCATCAACCTAAGGTTGGTTTACTTATTAGCCTTCAAGCTCAACTCCAGCTTATGCATTTTTCTACTGTGGTGAAAATCTGGAACGAACTGCATAATACTAGATGCACCTTGTTGAAGAATCTAAATCTAACTCAAACCTGGTAAGCGGTTTTCTATCATTATAGTTTATCTGAAAAATAACGTTGCATCAAAAGCAATCCTTTCCATCACGGCAGGGTCAACACGAAAAAGAGTGAGCAGGGCGCCAGATAGAGCGACAGTTCGACAGCTTACAGTTTATACGTTTGCATCAAACTTGACTTGGATGTTTCGAGCAGAATTTGAAGACTTTTACAGCCCAAACTTCAAAAAATCGTATCTCTTCAGAAAAAATCTTAGACCCGTATGCACGTACATCTCCGCCGGGGGGGGGGGGGGGAGGGGAGGGAATTTGAGGGGGAGATGCGTCATATCTCGCTACTCTATTTTTTCTCTTCTTCCTTCTCTATCTTGCTTATGAAGGTTCTCATACCCTTATATCTGCACATAACGGATGCCAGGTCACTTCCATACAAGATTGGTTTTTTGCCATTCTGTGTGATCCACAGGGGATCAACTCTCATTTCAAAGTCATTTTTCTTCCTCAGAAGCCAATTAAAATCCTGCAATATTGTGCTGAAGATCTACTACGGCACTGCTAAGTATGTTTATAGTAAAAAAAGATAAGTGAAATCTCAGGATATCGAAATCTTCGATAAACCATTGCTCGCGATAGGGACAGCGAAAAATTTACAACCTTCGAATTTCAATTCTCCTGTCGGAAACATGCTTAGCAGTGTCCTTGTATATCTTCGGTAGAGGTTCGCAGCGTTTTCTTTGACTTCTCATGAAGATATATGACTTTGAAAATGAGAGGTAATCCCCTAGGAATTCCCAGGGGATTACACAGAATTGCAAAAAACCAATCTTGCATGGAAGTGACTTGGCATCCATTATGCACAGGTATAAGTGTTTGTGAACCTTCATAAGCAAGATAGAGAAAGAAGAAGAAAGATACGTAGAGTAACGAGATATGACACATCTCTTCTTAGATGCTCTCCCCTCCCCAGCGGGAATGTACGTGCATATGGATCTTAAAAGCTCCCAACTTAGTTATGCGTACACCCTCTACATCAATTACTCATACGCACAGTATTGCAATATCTCCATAACCAGAAATTGATAAAACAAAATTTGACATACTTTCGCCAAAACAGTTTGAGCTTCTCCTAAGCAGTTGATTTTGTAGCGCAGACCTCTGTGAGTATGACCTTGAACAAATTTCCACAAGTGCTTGCTCTCGAGAAAAACAATTCAACGCAAAATCTCAGAAACGCGTGCGTCCCTTACTTGTTTCTCATATTCTAGCCACTGAAAGATTTCAGCAACCGCACGCTTGAATGCCTCATATAGCGAGTGTTTTGCCAAGAAACTGAAACTCTGTAGAAAAAATATGGACGAAGATGCAATTTTCTCTGTGTTTGGAGTAGAGTTAAAAACACAAAATGCATTATAAACTTAATGACTCGCACTATAGCCGCTCATAATTTCTTCTAATAAATAGCTCAGCAGGTACGTAATGTTTGGCTCAGCTCTAGACGCATCTAACAATCACGCATTTCATTCCATTACGTCACTAAGACTTCGGTTCCCTCCCTTGTTAGCAGAACAAACACTTTCTCTAGCCGACCGTTTCAACGCGTTTTGAACGAAGGAAAAAAGTAACATTTCTCTTTCCAAAGTTCACAAAGTCAGGCGTGTTGCAGACGCTTTACACCTTGAGACTGTACTTCTTACTTTTTACCTAAGTGAAAGTTTGAAGGTAACAGATTTTGCAACGACACTGCACACTTATCAATATAGCAGTGTCCTCTCCGTGTTCTCGCAGCGACAAAGAAAAACAGCTTTGCTTGATGTTCGCAAATTACGAACTGCACAAAAGTAATCCGCCCATAATGTTTTGATAATTGACCTGTTTTATTCAGTTTTCGTACCGCTGTATTGTTTTCGATTACTCACTCTCCCTTAGTGCTAAAGTTTCTCACAAATCGTCCAAAAGGTTTTGAAATAAATCATTTTTGAAATAAAGGGTGCGCATCCTAACCATAAATCGCTACCTAGTCTTCCCGTGAGAGAAAAACTCAATAAATCCGCACATCGTGCAGATACTTTGTGGAGAAATGTGGTGTACATACTAGTAACAGGCATTTCGAATTTTCCCAACCCAATATGTTGCTTTAATACATATAGATGTTGACGTTGACCGACAAGAACCATTTCATATCTATCTCCTTCACATAAAAACACAGTGAAAAACAGCAGTCAGGTTTCTTCCTTTGGGCTATTAAATAAAGTTAAAACGTTATCTGCCTCCTATAAACCAAAATTAACCGAAATCAGTTGTTCGGGTTGAGCCACTGCTCGGCTTATAAGGCGTACACATACGCAGCGTACCTCGTGCATAAAGGTATAAAACTATGCTGTGTACTACGCGTATGCCGCACGGTCTGGTCCCGGTTATTGTATTTTATTTATAATATGAAAGGTAGTGAATTCTGTGATCAGGATCGAGAATATGCCAGTGTGTGAACCATCTCTTGTTTTACAACTTTCCTTTAATTCGAGATCAGCTGCTATCATAGCAGGGTATAAATTCTGTTTTATTATTCAAAGAAGCTGAAAATAAAAACGACGGTCCACGTTAACTACAATTACACGCTTATTTTCCAACAATGTACCCCTAACCATCTCCATAGTATTCTTGCTCAACGAACACAGCGAACCCCCGCAATCACCTCAACGAGACCCACATATTCTGTGCATCAATTACATCTCAATCCAAAAATTACAAAATGCAATGTAGTAGGTAATGATACTGAAATATGATTTTTAGAAACAAGGAAATAATAAACGAATAGGCCTTTTCGAACAAGTTGCACATCATCAGATGCAGCGCAGGAAGCTCGAATATGTTTTCTGTATCTATTGAACACATTTGTCTTATCATAAAAGTTTATCCTGCATACGATTTGCAAAATAGCACTACACAGGGTGTTTATGTTTACAAAGTCCCTGGCCTAACGTACGTCCAATTCTAATTTTTAAATGACATCGTTTCATTTTTATTTTAATTGCCTCGCGCTTTTTGTTTTATTGTGCTCATCAAGCCTAGAAACCATTATTTTAGTAAAAATTAGGTTTCTTTGATTTTATTAGGTTGAAACAAATCAATGTAGTTTTCCACCTCTTTCCTTGTAATGCTTGTTACATAAAAGAGAACACACTTCCCACAAAAACACTGTGTATCATCTAAAATCCCTTTTTCTCTCTACCTGTACTTTTATTTTTGTAAAAGTGAGATCGTTCTGAAGTACCATGCCTCGAAAACAATATACCCAGTTTCAAAAATTTCTCGTCAAAAATCCAGCTCCGAAACTCTTATGTTATGTTTTCAAAAAGTTTACAAGCGTGCAAAATTCTTGAAAACGAACAAAATGAGAGTTAGAGAGTTGTGCTACATCTACACACTAAAAGTTTCAGCGCAGACTTGTGCGCTTGTCTGCTGTCGTAGCGACATGGAAAAATCTTTTTGCAAGTTACTTGAGTACTTTTGTTATAAAAAAAAAGTAGACTTACAAGAGAATGGTCAGAAGTCGAAGTGTCGAAACCAAACAAGCTCTATATCATTTTATGCTGTACGAAACGCTGACTTCTGCTTATCGTTTCTGTGGACGAAGGTACAAGCATTTTACTGTGGAAAAATCGTGCATAAAAGCAGCGAAATTGAGCACATTGTTGCACTTTTAGCTCAGCTTTAGGCTCTAAGAAGTTGGAGTTACTTAGCTGCATGTTTTGGCCCAGCATTAAGCCGAACCTGGCTCTTTACGGCTAAAATTTCACTTTCATGCATGACTTCCTAGCAAAATAATGACCTTTAATGGCTTATAACTCAGTCTAGAATAGCGATAAGCAGAGGAAGGCAGATTTAGAGACAGCGCTTCATGCTGCATCTAATGGTTTGCAGCTTGTCTAGATTGGCCACTTCGATTTCTGACCATTTCCTTGTTAGAACTTTTCGTGAAACAAAAAGCTGTCTTCCCTATCTGGTGCTGAGAAGTAGTACAAATCAAATAAAGCACTTTGCGCCTCTACTAGAATGCTGAAAATTGTACATTAAAAAAATCTAGATACTTGAAGCAAAAAATTGTTTCCTTTGTTGGAAAGTGGTCTTTACATCTAGCACACACATATAGCAAAAGTGAGTTAGGATTTGCAATTGAATTACTCTAAATTAGAAATTTTTCAAAAATCCCTAAATAATTTTCCAAATTTATGCCAATGCATGGACGCATCGGACGTCCCACCTGCTTTAACCCAGTTTGAACCAAACATCGAACAGTTTTCCACTGCGGTATTCAAGGTGCAAAATTTTTTTTTGTGATAGCTTCATGTGTAGAGGAGTTTAGCAGGTAGGAAGAAGTGAGTTTAGAGCAAGCGCTTTTGGCTGCAACCATTGGTATATAGCGTTGAAAGCGCCAGTCCCACTTTTGACATTCTTTTGTAAGGCGAATGAAAAGCGCAGTATCACAAGTAAAGATGATCTAGAGCTGACCCCTCCCCCAACAAAGTCTTTTTGACTTTACGTTTCTTCTTGTAGCAATGTAATTTTGCTGTACTGTTTTTTTTCAAATAGAGCTAATCCACATTTTGCTCTCGTCAACTGCAGATATCGCTCACATGTTTCAAGCCATAGAATGCATGTCATACAAATGCGTGGGGACTCTGACCTTTCGAACTTTAGATATTAAGAAATTTGATGAATCTTTACCAAAGTCAAACTAACCTTTTCGCTGACTCCCTTTAGCTGCTCACTCATCCAGTTGTTGAACTCGATGATGTGCTCACAGAGTTTATTCTCCTGAACTGCACATTAGTTGAAATTCAACAAACCACCTCATTCTTGCCGTTATGTCCGTGGGCTTTATTTTTATGTTGCTGAGTTCAAGGCATTTCTTCACCTTTTCTGACTGCGTTAGCAATGCATTGGAACGCAGTGTGATAGACTAAATTAGCACAGATCAATGCTGGACTGCTGGACTTCTTTTGTATTCAAGAGAGATGCTAAGGCAAGGATCTGACATACTTACGTGTACGTAAAACTTCCTGTGTTCATCTGCAGTTTGCTGCTCCCTTAGGCGATCCAAGGCGTCATCTCCGAGAACACTTATGCTTCCGACGAGCAGTAATATTAGTGTCAACAATAACCTGCTGCAAAATTTTCGTTTACATTTAATAACTGAACATGTTTACCTGCAACGCATCCCACTCCTTTGCCGAATTGAGTCATCTTTTTGTTCGCTCATCTACCTATATATATGAGGTCATGTTCATGTCGGCATCCAGTTTGGAATACTTGGATGTGGTAGGGACGTCTTTTTTTTTACATTTGATGTATGCCTTGCTTGGGCACTGTTGAAATTAAAAATGACACTTTTCTCATTGCATGTTGATAGATAATTTGCACTTGTCGTTCTCCATTTCAACGTTTGCTCTTGTTTTACTTTTTGGAAGTCTTTCCAGAAAATTTTCTATCGTAGGATTCACAGTACAAGGAAAGGTCTACATTTTCCGTTTGCAGAACAGGAAACAAGGGGTTTAATAGTGCAGTCAAACACTTTGATACGAATTACCAGTGATTGTGCTTGGAGCCTTCCACATTATGGTACAGCTGGAAAAAAATTCTCATAATTTACTTTGCGGTTACTAATATGCCCTTTGACGCACAATTTGACTGTAACGCACAATTTCAACCTTGGAAAATACAAAGCTTTCGAAATATCGTACATGAAAGTTTTCAGAACATTGTTATTGAAGGAATCGTCAAGCTGGATATCACTCAGGGCCCAGCAAGAGATGGCATCTAAGAACTTCGAAAACGAAGTCCCCTTGACATTGCAGAAGATTACGAAACACCCTTTGTGGTACTTGTAAGAATACGGCTAATAAACTAAGTGAACGATGAGTCAATAGAAGTTGTTCGTGACGTGTTGAAGCACATGTCATGTTCGTAACGTGTTAATCTACCTTACTGTTGATACGATGTCGGAGTTGAAAGGCTTAGGGGTTAGCTTTGCGTTTGCTAACATTGTATCAGATTTCCCAGAACCACCCCTGAATAACATTACGAGTTCCCTTTCGCTTCTTTCTGAGAAAAACGACATCCAGCCTGTGAAAGCGCCACCTCTGCTAAGCCCTGATATCACTTTATGAGAAAAAAAGTTTTCGTAGGATAGGACTTGAGCTGTGGCTGCTCTATCGCAGACATGATCGTTTATAATCAATTTGCTGAATTTCTGCGCCTGCACTCAGAGATGATTAAGAGCACTCAATAACAGCTTGCACCTCTGTCTTCAGGTTTCCCGCGAACGGTCGGCTAATTGCTAGCTCTGAATATCCTACGACCAGGATAGAAGAGAGGGAAAACGCGGTGGAAGAAACTGTGGCTGGTAACGCATATAATTCCTCCATCAAAACACCTTGCCAATTTCAGGAATCTATGTAATGAACCTTTGGGATTGAGTAGACAAAAAAATAAGTAAATACTTAGCCACCTGCAGAACAGCTTCGCAAAATTATTCATTGAAGCAGAATCAAGAACATCTTGGACAAAAAAGTAGAAACGTGATCATAATTGCACGAGGAACGTTTAGTTTCTATTTGAATGTTGCTAATTCTTTGAAGTTCCATAAATCGTATTTTCTTACTACAATTTCAGCGCAGATAAGATTTTACTTTCTGACTGAGGGGTAATTTCCTTATCACAAACCTTACTATGAGTTAAAAGTTGAAAAATACTCTTCTCTAACAGATAAATTTTCGCAAACTTAATGATGTAATCTTTACCTATAAACATTTGGGAGAAGAAATGGAGATAAAGCGAGGAACGTCTTTGTTCTGATTGTGAATGTTCAGTTACACTTTAACTTGATCTACAATCGTTGTAATTCAATGAGAACCAGTGTGAACGGGAAGCGCTACGTAATGCGCTCACTCTTGACCAGTGTCAGTTCACTTAAACTTGCTTCCTCTCCTCTATTTTTTGAGGTTCCTTCAGCTTACATGGCGACGCGCACGAGGCGGATGGGAGGAATTGATGCAGCGGCATCATTGCTTTCTATCGATGTATTATCATTCGCTCTCCTTTTTGTTTGTGTCGGGTCGTATCTTGTGACTATCCTTGCCACCAAAGTCAGCATGTATCCTGCACCGATGCTCGACAAATAAGCTGGCCAGAACGGGCGCCTGGACACTGTGTTTGAGCAAAGAACACGTTACTGCTCTTTGCGGCGTATAAAAAAGAGAAAAGAAAAATATTTTCTCGCTTTTTGTCTTCGGAAAGAGAAATCGTCTGTTGCTTTTTCTCCGCTGTAGGTGGTGATGATTTACAATGTCTTTAATGGATTCACGCCTTATAAGGGAAGGATACCAACATTTGTCAGCGATTAAAGATGGGATGTATATCGTTAAACGCGACCTTGAACGCTGATTCCAAATCTGCTTTCCTTTTTTGCGGAATAGCTTTCCGAAAGAAGTTATAAGCGTTTGAGGCCAAATTCGCCAAGGAGTGGCTCAAAATCAGCGAAAAGCTCTTAAACAATACCTAAGCGACTTCCACCGGCTTTGTTCCTTCCCTGCAGACAATATGCTTTATAAAAATGATTCCACTTCGGCGTTTTTGCTTAGCCTCTCAATTTTAGGCCACCTAAATCTTGACAAAGTTGGACATTCAAACGCTCATAACTTCTTTCGAAAACTAGTTCCGCAAAAAGGAACGCAGATTTGGAATCAGCGTTCAAAGGCGCGTCTAATGATATACATCTCATCTTCAATTGCCGACTAATGTTGGTATCTTCCCTTGTTAGAATTTATTTTAGATTTACGTTAACGTAAAAAAATATTTGACTGATGCTTAATTCCTGCACCAAAATAAGTACAGACCGCAATAATCCGGGTAATCCTGTATCTCAAATAGGATTCGATATATCATTAGATAGAGTAAACCTAGCTCTACAAGATAGTGCTTGAAGTTTTGCAACAGCTTTGATTCAGGCGAAGATTGAAGCTAGAAACCAAAGACATCCAAGCGCCCCAAAATACAAAAGTCCGTTCAGAAAAATCCTTCAAAATTTCTGACTTGCTCATGCATTGTCATTTCGTATAAGACATCTCTCTATGCAGTTGCTGTATTTCTCTCTCAGCTAGAAACTGAGAAAACGGTTTTCATGTTTTTTTCCAAAACAATGCTGAGATGTTTTAGCGCTGACGGTCGTGTACTACAGGACCTTAGAAGAATGATTGTGAATTTTCAGCTTTTTACAGCAGCTGGTTTACGAGAAATATCGTATTTCAAGCAACTAGGCAAGAAAAAGGAGAGCTAGATGCGACATTTCTTGTGAACCAGTTTTTTTAGAAGACCGAAAATGTAAAGTTTTACTGCTAATGACATTTACTATACAACTGTTAGTGCTAAAACATCTCAGCACTAATTTGGCAGAAACGTGAGAAACTTCGTCCTCTCAATTTCTAGCTGAGAGAATAATACAGCAACTGCATAGAGAGATGTCTTATACGAAATGACAACGCATGAGCAAGTCAGAAATTTTGAAGGATTTTTCCGAACGGACTTCCAATTTTTTTTGTTTTTTGGGGCGCTTGGATGTCTTTGGTTTCTAGCTTCATTCTTCGCCTGAATCAAAGCTGTTGCAGACCTTCAAGCACTATCTTGTAGAGCTAGGTTTACTCTATCTAATGATATATCAAATCCTATTTGGGATACAGGATTACCCGGATTAATGCGGTCTGTACCTATTTTGGTGCAGATATTATGCATCAACCTAATATATGGATACTTGCAAATATTGTTTTTATTGGCTTTCATCAGCCTACTCGCCACACATTAGCACAGTTGATAAGCTCATAAAATATCAAGGCAAGTTACAACTTTGTAAACGCAATTCGCTAAGCTTTGAAAATACGTTTGAAACCTAAAACACGTGAGGGTCTTGGATAAATTTGGGTATGGCTGGTTGACTGCGTTAGATTAATTGTATTGACTCGTTAGTTGTATTTATTGAGTTAAATTCAAGAAAGTCCGAGAAACACTGCTAGCATACGCGCTCAACCCACTATGAACTTAATCTTTGATAAAAGAAACTAAAAAAAAACTAGAACTGTGACAACTTGCATGAACCATAAAAACGCTAGTGGCGGCTATTCTTTCTGAAAAATTATGCTTCTTAAACGCTTACGCGAGCCCTATTTCTCAATACTTCCTTATATTCACCTTTGTAAAAACATCTAATGCTGTACTCAAGTATGCAAACATCTAATGCTGTACTCAAATTTTCAGTTTATTTAGATGTAAGGAAAATGTGGATAGCCAAGCTGTTACATAAACTTCGAAAAACTAATATGGCAAACAACTTGATGAACTGCTCGCAGAAACACAACTTAAAAGTATGATTTGTTGAAAATCTAGATTTTAATGAGATCTGAGATTCATGAATTTGGGATTGTAAGGTATTAGCATTCACGATAATTATGAACAGAAAATGATAACATATCCTTTTTTTGCTCAAACATTTGCCTCGCTTTCCAATTCATTGCGCAATCAGTTTACAGCTGTTTTTACACCTGCACCTGTTCTACCATAATAGATTTTTCAGGCACCATGTTGTAACAGTAGTCCGATAGATTACTGTATTATTTCGCTTTCTCCGGATTAGGGTAGGGTCTAGGTAGGTCCGGGTAGCTTGTTTTGTGAGTGGATGCCGATTGGAGAAGCCTTAGCTATACTATTCTTCAAGCGCCAGCACATGCTAGGAATAACTCTCGCCTAATCCGCGCTCTTTTCGAGTCTCATCTAGATCAAGGCCGTAGGTTCCCTTGAAAGAGTACAACTGTGCGAAACTTTAGAGTTAATTTTTCAGCCGAAACATATCGTAGCGCATACATGCAATTATCTATGGACAGAAATAACATGTGGAACCTGTTGTTCAAGAACGGTGCGCTCGTTTACCTCTACTTTGTGTTATAGCAGTTGACCAGTCTTCATGCGACTCCTGCTCAGGCGATCGCCAGGAATAGGCAATGTTAATCATCTGCTTGCAAAAAAGAACTAGCAAGCCTTTGTTGATCACCTTCTCGCTCTATTCACGGATAAGTTGCTTTTCCAAAACAAGCTACTCCCAAAACTATCTCGATGCGGATCAATATTCCTGTTTTTGCATCTGAGTCCAGCTTCTTCAAAATTAGCAGTTTTTTTTTGTTGCGGAGGGTTCGATACCGCAAATATTCCAAGACCAAGCTATATTGGATGTGCATAAGAAAATGGAGTATACTGTCAAATCCAAATGGAATGTAATCTCGCTCCCGAGACTTTCTTCTCAGCTTGACCTTTCCGAAATCTTAAAATCTGCTGATAAATGTTCAATGAGCTAGGTGTCGCGGAACAACCTCAGATTATGTCTTTACACTTCATGCATTTGTAGAATCTAAACAGTACATAATCCTTCAGATTTGCTGCACTTTCCAGGACATCCGCTGCATGGTTCACCGATTGAGTAAATGACCCTACCAAGGTAGTTGCCACTGAAACATTTGTATCATTACTACAATGAACATTGTCAAGGCTTACGCTGGTCCATATTGACAGACGGCATATGTGAATTTAGGACAAGCTACGACAGCACATCCAAGTTTATGGCTCGTTCCCCAGGCCATCTTGAATTAAGTTTATCAATATCTCTGCAAAATTTCCAGCAAGAAAATCACCTGGGTGTAATGTCCAATTGGCTTATTAGGCCTGTTCCAAAGCGCTTGTGTTAGTTTATTGGAGCGGCCAATGCCATAATCTTTCAGCTCATTCCACCACCCCTCAGAGGACTGAATGATAAACATGGAAGATACTTATAAGTAATTGTTAATCAGAAGATTGTTTAAATGAGTGCTTCTTTACATAGAACATGGAATAAGTTAACAAGGGGAGGACCCGAAGTCGAAGACGGTTTTTGACAAGAAATATATAACAATTGAACAGCATCAAACGCGATTCCAAAACCGTCTTTGATGTCTGCCAAGTTCCTCTACACGCTGAATTATGAGCGTTTTTGGCTCAAAAATGAACCGCAACACGAACAAATTCGTCCAAGAGATTGCGCAAATGGTCCAGCATTGAATTTTAGAGCACTTTATGCATCAGAACCTTTTAACTAATATACTATTACTCAACCCTCCTTTATTTGGGCGCTTAAAAGATATAAAATTAATTTTACCTAGATTTTTTGTAATCATTTTTTGCTCTAAAAACACTCATAACTCAGCGTCTAGAGGAGCTTGGCAAAAAGCAAAAGCAGTTGTGCAGTCAGCCATGGTACTCTTTAGGATGGCATACGTTTCATTTAGAAAGCCGATTCCGACTTTGGGTCTTCTTCTAGTAAGCACTCTTTGTAGATGATGTTGATTGTTTCTTTTGCTGGATCAATGTGTTTAAAGACTGATCCAAAATTATCGTACTATGTTAAATCAATCGATCTTAATTGGCTGTTTTTACCATTCCTGAACTTTCCATGACACTAAAGGCTACTGCATGACGAAGGCGCAGAAGCAGTTTTAGTTGCGCAAGCACCTCATGCGCTCTGCGGCTAATAAAGCCGCGTTCGCACCAAAAAAACCGCGCCTTCGTCATGCAGTATCGTTTACTTTCAAATACGAGTTTAGACAAAATACGTGAAACACCTGCAAAAATCCGTTATTGGCGCTTTACCATTAGTTGGGAGCGCTAAGTGACCGATGGTTGTCCCATTGTATGCAATAGGAAGTTCAGTAGTGTTTAGCAGGTACAGTTACCAAATATATGCTTTGACTGTTCTTACAAAGTCATGGCGCGCCAGAGGGCACTCTCGGATGAAGGAATGGAGGAAGCGGGCGATGTCAGACCTTACGGTTGATGATACTATTATATTTTGCAAGAGCATTACTAGAAAACAGGACCATTGCAGATTTTTCACACTCCTGGGGCTTGCTTCTAGACTATATGGTAATCTGAAGAGAACACAAACTTTGCGGGAGCGCCGCTTCTCAGCACATTTGCTTTGGAGTATAGAAAAGCAGTTGGTTTAAAAATTATGGCTGCTAGGTAAGCGCTGTCGATGTACACCAAAAAATCTAGCTCGCCTAAAATATACTTTATGTACCTGCGTAGCTGCCTTGACTTTATTCAAGTCAAGCACGGTGGTTTTGAAAAGATTTTCTCCAAGCCCTTTTCTTTGAGATGGCTGAGAGTGCTGGTAAACGCATTTGTTGGCATGCCTCATGGCACTCGCTTCGACTGCGCAGTCGTAGACCTGAAAAATCGACGTGATGTTAACAAGCAAAGATCGCCCACTTTGAGACGGTCCTTACGTTAGCATTAGCAGATTAATCACTGCACCCCTCTGACTGGTCAGTGCCGTAGCGGAGGGGTAAGTGAGAGAATTAGGCTGCCCTTAGAGATACAGCGCTCCAAATCGAACGGGTTAGCCAAAACCACTCTCCCATTGAGAGAATCAGAGAAGCCGAGTTTTATATGAAACTCAAAAATGTTTTACGTAGGTGACGCAGATATTTCAGGTTGATGCTTTGGGGGAGAGGGGGGGGGGGGGGAGGGGAGGGGGAGGGTAAGCGCCGAAATTGGCTCGCGAAATTTTCGAAATTTTCTTACATGGATTAAAAAAGTGGATTATAAAAAGTGACTTGTAATTCTTGTAAACATTTGGAATAATTTTTCAAAATTTTTAAAAATCGAATTAGCCTTGTGAAAGAATTTTTTCGGAGCGCGGATGCCGCTTCTTTTTCTGGTTTAGGGGTTATGGACCAGCAAAAATTTTGAGAAGCATTCCAAAAATTTCCTCGAAGTGCGTGGCTAACGCCAGTATCTTCATTTGAAAATTTCTTTTGCTGTTCTTCCCTCCTTCCCCCCCCCCCCCCTCTCCCGTTGTAAAAAAGGGAGAGGAAATCACGGAATAGATAGTTAAAAGATAAACCTTCTCAAAGTCTTGTCCTCGTTATTCACACGTCGTCACTATTATTGCACGAAAATGTGCACTCGCTTGCTTTGGAATATTCAAAGATATTTGAAATCTCTGCTAGGTAATAGGAAAGGCAGAGTGATTAACGGTAGGACGGAGTGGTGCAGAAGGAATGTACCATCGCCCACTTACCATTTTAAGCATCTTGGAAGCTTTAGGAGTCTTTCCCCCCAGTGGATCTGGTTCTAAGCCACGAGCAGCTCTTGACCTGCAATTTCCTACCGTGCTTTGAGAAACCTATCGATTTTTTGAACTGTTTCCAAGTTCTTGAATACTTCTCGAATTGTAGAAATTACCTGAATTGGTTATGAAGAGATAAGAATTTTTGTCTTGCACGGTCAGTCATTCCTTTGTTTTTGGGACACATATGGTTGGTTTCTGGAATGGAATTCACTCGAGTAATTAAAAAAATATTAGGTTTAACCGAAAGTTCTGTCGCACCATTTTCAAAGAATCATAACTTCTTTTCCTCACAACGGTTTTGCGAGATCTAAATTTTACCTAAAGAGTAAAGCATGTAGTTTTCAACAATCTCCTGTCGACTTTCCAACATGCTCAGGTTGCAGAGATAAAAATGAAAGAACGAGATCATCCGAAATTCAGAATTTTTGAGCAAAAATTCTAAAAATTTAGAAACTGTGCGATAAAATTCAAAACAGCCATCACCTCAAATTTTCTTATATTTTTTCACTAACAGAGCCAAGTTTGTGCTGATCGAGGTCTTTTTTCAGAGGTTATGATTTTTTGAAAAAAATGTCGAAAAATCAATTTCCAAAGAATTCTTAAGAAATTGTTTTCGGCATTTTTTTTTCAAAAAATTATAACTTTTGAAAAAAGAGCTCGATCAGCACAAACTTGACTCAGTTAATGATAACATGTTGAATAGTGCTCAGGAAACTTTTGGGAACTACATGCTTTAGGCTTTCGGAAAAAATTTTGAATTGCTCAAAATCGGCGTGACGGAAAGAAGTTATGATTTTTTGAAAGGGTGCGACAGAACTTTCGGTTCAACCTAATAGATAGATGGAAAAGTTTTAGTGACATCTTGTAGCGAAGGCCCTAATGTTGCGACAAGGTTTGGCATGTGAAATTAGCAATTTTTCACATTATTGATATCAGGCATTTTAATGAGAGAAGTACAGTACGAACGCTTATAAACCTTTTACATTGGCTCCTTTTGTGCAGAGCCCAGCAGAGCAGCCAGAGTTGGGGTAAGTGGTGCAATCTGCACCAGTTTTGCAAGCTCTTCCTGTTTCCCACATTATTTCATTTGTAGAATAACCACTAAATAGTACTATGTATAGTTACGCCAGAAATTTTTTGGCTACCGAATTAAAATTTTACATTTCGTTATAGAGGCAAGTGATGACCATTTTGTTTTTGCAGATATTGTAAGTGCAACCGATTTTTGTCGTTTCAGAGTGAACCATCTGAAAATAAAGAGTTTTGCGTGTTGCGTCAAAGTCTTACAAGCAAGGCAATTGCAACGCTCACATTGGCAAAGCTATATAAGCTAGTGCTTGTGTATCTGTTTCCTGCATCATTGACACCATGCCGTTTCGCTTTACTCCACCAAATATCCAATGTTGATTTGATTTCTTTGATTGGATCATCAAATCCGCCGGTGCTTGTCCACCTGAATATTTGTACTAAGCAAAAAAATCTACTCTTGTTTTTGAACCAATTGAAGCTGTAAGATTTCGCGTATCACAAATATTCTGTGAAGCGTTTAAAGGTTAACCCGAGATTTCTTTTGTTCTGACTGTTGTTGTGTAAATTTCATGTCGTTGCAGAGATGATCAGTTTTTTTTTCAAACGCAAGAAAGTATGATGTGCGCTGGTGCGCATAGTTAATAAATAGTAGCAAGGGCGGAAGAAATTCAGATCCATTCCGCTGAATTTCAGTGACTGTGTATCATAATCATTTAACAAGTTCGTGGACCAAAGAATTTTTTTGAGGACTCAAAGACCAAGAAATGCAATCAAACTTTCTCCCATTTGAAATGTACCCAGTTTAGACAAATTACACTAACCAAGTCTCTTCCCCTTCCATCTTTTCAATCATTTGAATGTGTCTGTTCACGTACAAATATTTTTTCTAATACCCCAAAAATATGTCAAACTCACGTCATGACGTTCTGTGCCATATTGGCCCAATTTTTGATTTCGTCAGAGCAAGAAGAAATGGCTTTTTGTGCTTGTTGCTCCATTTTGCAATCCCATTCCTGAGCATTGCTCATACTCATTGATTAACAGATTGCTTCGAGCAGAAAACGAGTATTGTGTTTGATGGTGAAGAAAGTGTAAGTGTCAGCAAGTTGGTTCCCCTCCAACAATCTCACCCAAGTACTGCACAATTACACCTTGTATTTGTACATGATGACATAATATAATATTAGATTGCCCCGAAAGTTTTGTCGGTTTTTTTTTCAAACCGCTATAAAACCATGCAGAATAAAGACCTTAATGAGCATCAACATGCATTCGATGCATTTTCCTTCCCCTTTTTATGGTTACACTCCTGAGACGCAATCTTGTATGGTTTTTTCGATATTTCCACAGTTCCTCACCCGTCATTTTTATCTGCTCAAAGTTAGGCTAGTTTTTAAGAATTCCATTCTAAAGTTTCGGAAAGGGTTAAGTAAGCCACTAGTTGAACAATTCTCAGGTTACAAGGTTATATTTAGACTCTCCCAATCTGCTGTTCTTAGCTTCAAACAATTATTTCTTCGGAGGATTCGATTTTTGGCAAAGTCATGAAACACGCAACTCAGCAAATACACGAAATCTCTTGAAGTTTCTGTGAATCGAAACTTGATTGCTGATAATCATTATTTACGCAACATAACCAAGTCTAATTCGCTTTGAAAAATCAGCTTTTTGGAATTTTCGGTAATTCTACGTGGTAGACGTAATCAAAAGCCCCGTTTTTTCTTGAATAAATAATTATTTAAGACACATGGTCCATGTATTTTATAATGGAATGTAGCCAAAGGCTTGCTCTACAAAACAGTTACCAACGCTCTATGAAAACATCATTTTAAAAATTTTTAAAATTCAGTAAAGTTTTGGCGTTACTGCTAAACTGCTGAAACAGCCACGGCGATAATATTGCAAAGACAGGGTGGATCAGAGAGAAAATATAGCTGTAAGAAAGAAGATAAAATCAAATGATACCGAGGTGATCCGCGGATTGGTGTTCTGTGGGTTTTAGCGAGCGATGAAGAAAACCGACAAAACTTTCGGGACATCCTAATATGTATGATGTCCGAAAAAGTAATTATATACTCACCAGCTCGTACATATTTTTTGCTGGATGCAACTTTCCGACCTTATTCGGCTCTTTACCTTGAGCCACTCTTCGACGAGCGTTATTGTGAAAGCTCAGGAACAAGTCACGTATTTTGTCCGTCATTTTACCGTTTGAACAGTGAGCTAGATCAAAATTTTTGAAAAGTGATTCATCATGGCGCAGATGAAACAAAGGCTAAGAGTGAGGTGCATTCAGAACTCACAAACTGAAACTCACGCTTTTTATAGGCATTGACAGCTGCTAATGCAATGAAGAAAACCTGGAATGTTGTGGTAAAGAACGACGGCAATGACTAAAAATACTTATACTTTTCAAGAGATTACCATCCATGGGATATACAAAATTTTTGCTTTCGGCGTAATCTGTGTTTGATATTTCACAATGCAGGGTGTCTCAAAAGTATGTTACACTGTTTGATTATTATTATTCCTTTTTTACTTCCAGGTACCTTTTTGTAAAGTTGACAACAACTTAGACTTACACTATGAAGCAAACCAATCGCTCTTCATTGATAAAAGATTACACTAGCAACTTTTAATTTATAGCTCACTGTGGATTGGTCGTGATTAAAAAACGTTTCAAAAAAAACTGAAAAGTTGTGTATCAGAGTTTTTGCGCGCGCTGAGTTCATTACTCAACTTTTTCAGTATGTAAAGCTTTTTAAAGGCAGTATCCAGGCAAATCTGGACATATGGGGTTCTGATGTGGAAAGTAATTCTGGAGCCCCAACTAAGACACTGCCCAAGCGGCAGCTCAAATGGTGAACTCACAGTTGAGATATTTGCCTCCAAACAAAACCTTTGGGATCGTATTCGCATGGATTCATAGCGCGGTACCGTAGGTCCTCGCGCGAAACTGGTGTGTCGCGCCGTGAATCCATGCGAATACGATATCGCGGTTCAGTTTGGAGGCGAATATCTTAACTGTGAGCTCACCATTTGAGCTGCAGTTTGGGCATTGTTTTAGTTAAAGCTCCAAGATTACCCTCCAGGTAAGATCTCTATAGGCCTAGACTTGCCTGGACGCTGCCTTCAAGTAGTGTCATCACAATTTTAGGGGAGCATTGTAAAGACCACTTCCGCTGTTTACCTGGCCTAAGTTATGTAAGAAATATCGTGTGAAGTACAAAGTCCATACTTTGTTCCAGCGCCTGCAATTAGCCTACTGTAGGAATTTTCAGGCTGTTTGGTTTGTTTTCTGAGACGAAATAGGACCGTCACCAGCTCAAGACCCATCTTGAAGTTCCTACCTATAGGCTGCTGCATGACGAAGGCGCAATATCTTTAGGCGCGAAAGCGGCTTTATTAGCCGCAGAGCCCATAAGGCGCGAGATTTCTATGGTAAGGATACACGCGCGTCGCATTCGCGCCCGCTCAACTAAAACTGCTTCCGCGCCTTCGTCATGCAGTAGCCTTTGATTCTACAGTAATAGAGAGCGATCGATGATTTGCTTCATATTGTCCCTGCAAAGCGGCGCTTGAAGCTAGGCAAAGGACTTTGAGGCAGGAGATAAATCAACAGATAAATCAACAATCAACAGTCAGTATGCATACATTTGGGACACCCTGTATGATATCTAAAAGGTGCATTTTTTTTAGCAATTCGAGTTCACTATTTCTTGATATTGAGATCAGATTATTGCACCAACTGTTTTCGAAATCTTACCAAGGCAATCAACTGCGACGAAGTCATTTCCTGTAAGAACAATGTATATTCTGCAGTACATAAACTACATAAACTATCAGCTAAAAAATGTCGATAATGGGTGAGAGATGAGTGAAAGGACCATGCTGATAATCATGATTATTGCTGCGCTTTATATCAGCTCTATATAAATGAATAGGGCTATAACTATGTGATTGGTTGTACATGACTACAATAAAATAAGCACAGTTTATGGGATAATTTTATGCAGTCATCATATGCTCAAGAATTCTTGGATAATAAAACATTTGCTATTCGTTGGCAGAACTACTTATTCTTCGATAAAGCCGCTGTGACATAAAAATTGCATTGTTAGCAAATTCTGAAAGAGAATATACAGGGTGTCTCAAAAAAAAATGTATTGAACGTTTGATCGTTAATATCTCTCTTCCCAAGAAGTCTTTTGTCTTGCTTCAGGTACCGTTTTGTAGAGCTGACTTCAACTCAGATTTGCACTATAGGACGAATCACCCATCCCTCTTCATTACTGTAGGATTACGGTAGAAACTTGAAACATATGGTGTTTACGTGGAAAAAGCTGCCTTTTCAAAATTTTTCAAAAAATGTGAAAACTTGTATAATAGGGTTTTTATGGACGCTGAGTTTGATACTCAACTATTCACGAGATTACGAAGCCTTCTAAAGGTGTAACCGCACTTTTCAGGAACATTGAAAAAATGACCGCTACCTCTTACTTGGCATAACTCTTCAATGAAGCATCATAATAGGTTGGGAGCTTTACAGCTATAATCAGCAACTCTAATTAGCCTAGTGTAAAAGTTTTGAGGCTAATCCTACAGTAATGAAGAGAAATGAGTGATTCGTTCTATAATGCAAATCTAAGTTGAAGCCAGCTCTACAGATTGGTGCCTGAAGCAAGGGAAAAGACTTCTTCAGAAGAGAGATATTAACGATCAAAAGTTCGATACATTTTTTGGGACATTCTGTATGATTATGCTTTGTGTGCGGAACATCAAAACTTTCTCAGAACATAGGTGCTCAAAATGTTTGACATGTCCTGCACTCATTTTTAAAATTGAAACTTTTCTTGTTTAGATTAGTTTCTTGATATTTCAAAGAGAAAGCTAAGCATACTTCATTTTTGCCACTCATGTTAGCGAAAGGGTAGCACAAATTCAACATTAAAGTTAAACACGTAGGTTTGGCAAATTTTCAACCAGATTGCAAAAAATGCTGAGGACAAGAAATAAACAACGGTACAAAGATTTGTGACAAGATGCTTTCCAAAAAGAACGTGATAAATTAATTTTGACGTTTTCTTATTATTTAACATTATACTGTAATATTAGGTTGATGCAAGAATAATGAGCGGTTTTCAAATTTTTAATTCAGCTTGCTATAACTTTCCATACAATCTACTTTTTGAAATGTGGTAAAGACCTTCAAATGCAGCGAACCTTTCGCAACACAGCGCACATTAAAGTATACTCATACCTCATATGGGCAGAAAAATATGGATTGAAAAACAAAACAAGTTTTTTTCTGGAGTCTCGTTTTTGACGAAACATAACTCCCTTCACAATTTGTTAGTATAATTCATAGACAGCCTCTCTTGTAGCCGCAAGCTAGTAGTACAAATATGCATAGAAAGGGCGTGGAGGAAAAAGATTAGCGAAGAGGAAAAAATCGAAATCCAGAAATATCAACTTTTTCAGCATTTTTCAGCAGGCCTCAAAATCTCGAAGTATAGAATTTTCTAATTTTTTGCGTACTGAACAGCTGAATGTCAAAATCGACAACAGAATCCCTACCCTCACGCTTACAGAAATGAGCAAAGTTTGAGCGATTGCATTCTACAAAAGAAAGTTATGGGCTCTAAAATGACCACAACCAATACCCATGTTAAGGGGCCGATATCACAATTCAAATATTAGGGTGAACGGTAAAAAATGACACCTTGAGAATAATTGCAGATTTCTCAAGGAAGAAATGTGGTTGAACTTTCCAATTTTGGTGGATATTAGAATAAATTATTCTCTTTCAGAAAGTACCTGTATAAGGTCATTTACACACCTAGTAACTTTTATACTTGCTGAAGTGCAAAGTTAGTCACTTCGACAAATCATGAACTTCGAGCAGTTTCTGCGCAGTCAAACATGTGAGACCACCCAAAGTACCACTGCTGCAATGGGTGGTGGGACAGTCACCAAACCCACGACGACTTGGTGGCATCAACTTTCAAAGTCAGGAGATATGGCCATTAACAGCTTTGAGAACGAAGATACGCGTTATTCAATTCTTTGCAGGTGAACGCATGTTTTCTAGGTATCATCTGATAGAGCTTTTTACGCTCTATCCATCCATATGCAGCTTACCTCAGATTTCATCTATCTTCGAAAAATGTAGGGCAAAACATGATTTTTTGGTTTTTTTATTGCGCCAAAAATAGCTGTTTTTCAGGGTTTTTCGCTTCTTTTTCTGAAATTGAGAAGAAAACTCATGCATTTAACATATCATTTGAAAGAGCATGAAGAGCTCTTTCGAATGGTATGTAATCTGCTATACAATTTTACGGTATAGCAGCGCAAGATTGAGAATTGTTCAAAAAAACCCTGTCTGAGTTCTTCAAGGCGCCACGCGTAGGGTAGTGGAAGAGGAGCGTTAACGCGTTGTCAGAATAATAGGTGAAGGTCGCTCATGTAAGCGACATTTAAGTTGCAGCCTACTTGCTGTTGCTCGAAACAAAAAACTCCAAAATGTAACTAAAATCAAGTTGTCCCATTTTTTACCGTTCACCCTAATAACTTCAAAAAATGTGGTCAAGTATGCGTAATGTAGATAATTTCTATCACATATAATGGCTGAATTTTCGAAAAAGTATCTTCATTTGGGCTCAAATTCTGGCCAGAAAAATGAATGCAACGAAAATCTGGTTTTGAGTGCGATCATTTGAAGCTCTATAAATTCTTAACAGAATAGGCTAGTAGTCCCTTTCAAACATCATAAGATAGAGCATGGAAAGAACTTTTTAACAATGTGCTGAAACCGTTTCAAAAAGGAAAGTATGATGGAGAAAAGTTGTTCTAAAAAAAGTTCTAGGAAAACGCTCATTATTTTTGCATCAACCTAATATTAGGTTGGTGCAAAAGTAATGCGCGTTTTTCTAGCCCTTCTGTCAGAACAACTTTTCTCCATCAAATTTTCTCCTTTGAAAGAAGCTTATCAAGCTGTCAAGAAGCTCCTTTCATGCTCTATCTAGTAGTGTTTAAGAGAAGCTTCTAGCCTCATTCGTTAAAAATTTATAGAGCTTCATACAACTGCACTCAAAACCAGAATTTCATTGCACTGACTTTTTCGGTCAGAATTCAAGCGCGAGTAAAGGCATTCTTTTGAAAATTTAACTACTGTATGTAGTAGAATTTTCCTACGTTATGCACGCTTTATTGTTTTCCTAAAAATTACTTAGACTGAGATCTCGGCGCAACATGAGTAATGGTTTTGGCTATTCTGCGGCCCACAGCTTTCCTTTGAAGAGAGCAATCGCCAAAGTTTTGCTTATTTCTGTAAGCGCAAGAGTGGGCCTCCTGTTGACAGTTTTTGCAGAAATGTGGAAGCTGTTCAGAACACAGAAAATCAAAAAGCTCCATATTTTGGGATTTTGAGGGCTACGAAAAAATGTCGAAAAAAGTGGACAATTTTGAATAATATTTTTTTCCTTTTCGCAAATATTCTTTATTTGAGCCCTTTTGTACTTTTTTGTACTACTGGCTTGCGGCTACAAGACAGTCAACTTATCATTTATACCGACAAGTCTTGAAGGAAGTTATGATCAGTTAAAAACGAGATTTCCAAAAAAATTTTTTTTGCTTATCAATCCATATTTTTCGACCGATTTGCGACGTTAACATAGGTCATTGTGCGCTGTATAGAGAGAGTTTTGGTGCCTCTGATGAACTTTGCCGCACTGAAGAATACGGATTTTTTAGAAGGTTATAGCACGTCAAAGTGAGAACTCGCAAAGCGCGCATTACTTTTGCACCAACCTAATTAGGTTGTTGCGGAAGTTCTTGCGTAATTCAGACAAAAATTAACAACTTTTCAAATGCTGAAACTAAGCTCATAATTCGGTCTCTCAAAAATAGTAGAATGTTTACGCTCCATAATAGATGCTCAATCATCATTTTATAAATAGCCACAGAGAGCAAAGTTTTCATAAATGGCTTTCGATTTTTAAGATTTTGAGCTTGGTGCTACAAAATCGTGTGCGGCCGCTGGCAAGCTCAAAAAAATCTGTAAACGTTCCTTACGTTCTTACCTTCTAGATTAGTTCCTCATAATCCATATGTTACTTTGGCAAATAGGCATGAAAGTGCAGCAACAGAATATTATCGTGACTCCAACTTTCACAAAAAAATCCCTTTAATGTTACAGCTTTTCTTTCAAAAACGCAGTTTGGAACCAGAATTTTGATATAAAGTCCAAAAACAATGAGATCTTTCTTGGAGTATCAAAAAGCGCTGACAGAAAGCAACTATGGGAGGATTGGATTTTTTTTTGTAAAATGACATTTTACACGAGTTTTTTGCCTTTGCATTACCACGCAAGATTGAAGCCTACCAAGTATGGACTTCTATTCTAGTTAAGAATTTTTTTTCGTATACTAGCGGTCGTCCACGATTTTTTAGCATCAAACTTAAATTCGCATTCAAGAACCATCTTGAAAGTTTCCTTCTCGGTGGCTAACTTAGCAGAATATTAATTAAGCATCAATGTACCATAAAGCGGGTCTTCTACTGTTCTACTGAAATATAGAACTAGGTTCGATATTCATAAAATTATTGAATTTTGTCCGAATTACACAAGGTTTTCCGCACCAACACAGTATCATTACTCCGCTTTCACAAGTAGAAGACGCAGCTTTTTTGTTTTTTCAAGCAAGAAGATCGGTTGCACCGCTGTGCCTAGCGAAATGGCCGCTCTCGCGCACAATTCTTTCGGGCAAGGAGCCGCGGTAGAGGGCCGTTTGGTGA